CTTGGTGAAAGACAAACAAACAAGCATTCTTTCTGCTTGAAAATTGTTATCAGAAGATTGTAGGCTAGATCAGAAGAATGAATTTACCTGGAATTCAGCGATGATCTTACGTTATTGCCGTTCTTGAAATAGTTTGTCTGATTTTCCTTTTGTCTTTGGATATACAAGAATTTCAGAGCAATTAACAAAGTGTTAATGAAAGATCCACCCTGTTTACTTCTTATTGCGTGAATTGAATTTTTGTGTGTGGAAATTTAATATCTATATCGAAAAAGGTGGGGAGTTTCTTGAAAAAGGCAATAACGTAATTCACATAGAGATTTTCTATTTGGTAGGTTTTTGGGGGAGATTCAGAGTATAGTTTTCGTTCATTTATGATTCTGAATAGAAGTGAGTAAAATCGACCTTTGAACATTATTTCGGTCTTGGAGTGTAATAAATTTGTCCAATTTGAAACAAATGAGGCGACAAATGGTATTAATGAGTGAAGAAGGTAATAAAACTGGTAAATTGTGTCATCGCGCTTGGCGCGATTGAGGAGGAAACGCACGACGACGACTGCACAAAAGGCCCATTGAGGAGATTTAGGTGTGATATATATATATTTTGCGAGGGAAGAGTTCGTGGCGGCGTGGAATATAATATTCGGCAGGAAGTGGAGAATTATCACAAAATCCACTCTCTCACTCCCTCTCTGACTTCGCTCGCACGCTCGATTTGTGATGATGTGAATTTGATGGATTCATCTCGGAAGCAGCATCACCCACAATAGTTAATAATAGTAAAATACATTGAGAGCCACCAACATGTGAATATGCTGTAGTTTTCAAGATGATGTAGTGCATGAGGAAATTTATTTTATTCCTCTAATTTGTGGTGTGTTTATTCAAGAGATTTCATCATAAAATGGCACGTCGAATAATTTTCTACTATTTCATTTAATTTTCGATGGCGAGAAAACACGTGTCAAAGGATCATTTTTCACAACGCGCCTTCTCTCTTGTCACATTTCGAAGTGCTTCACAAACTTGATGGTGGAATTGTTTGTGGGCTGTTCTGGGTAAGAGCTGCACATTGTTTGTGGTGATGAAGAAGCTGTCCAAAGAGTCACAGAAGCCAAAAATGTCATAATTGATTTGACGATCGTGAGACGCCCCAGTGAAAGCTCTCTGCGGAAGGTGTTTATTGTCAGATGGCAATGTGCTTTCTGGAGGAACATATTGTTGGTTATATTGTGTGATGAAATTTGTACAGCAGTCGTGCACACACATGTTGGTGGGATTGTCAATAAGAGTGGCTTTGGGAGCAATTTAAATTATTATTTGTCCAATTGATTCAACATGATTTAATGCACTTTTCTTTGCTTGTGCGCACGGCGCACGGGAAATTTCTCTCTCTGGAATCGCTCAATTCTCATTTTGCAGCGTCAAAAGTGGGCATGAGTGATTTTCATCCTCAGGTGCAAGTCCAAGAAGTCATGCGAGAAGACATAAATTCAAAGAGTTTCTCGGAGACTCAATTTCAAAACAATTAAATTGATCTCTCTGGGCGAAGAGAGTGAGATAAGTTGGGGCAATGTCAAAGAGGCAAATATTTTATCTCACAATATTTAATTGTTTGATCTTGCCATCGAATGAAACAGTCTGTTTGAGAGTGTGAGGAAAAGTCATCAAATGTCGATAAAACTTGTCTTTATGTGCCATGTCTCGTGTGGTTGCCATCTCTTGTATACAATCAATTTAAACAATTTGAGAGTGAAACATAAATTTTGGATAAGTTTTGAGCGGCTTAAGACGCTCAGGTCGCGCACTTCACGGTTATGCAATAAATTGGTTTCGGTCGGCCACTGACCATAAGAAGCCGCAATGCAGCAATTGACCATAACACTGTATCAATGTGACTACATTGACTTGGCAAAAGTTGTACTCCTAATGGAGGTGTCTGGGCGCGCTGCAAATAGAACTAATTGAATTAAATGCAAGGTGATCAATGAAATTGCAATGCAATTTACACGTTAGTCACTTAAAGGTCTCTCTCTCTCCCTCTCCGGCTCTTCGCGTCATTCATCGGGTTGGTTTGTGGTGTGAAGATCAAAGAGCAAGGAACGAGATTCCATTGTGTGCCAGTGCGAGGAAGGATGATGGAGTGAATTTACCGATCTGTCCGAGAGTGATGACTATTGTTGGGCAAGCGCAAATGGCTTGGAGGAAGAAATCCAATGAGTAGAATAATTGAATAATGAAATCTCAATGTTGATGACCTGACAGAAATTTAGAGAGAAGAATGGTCAAGGGGAGTGATATGGATGAAATGACCAATAAACAGTCTTATTATCGCAGTTTTCAAAACAGAAATAAAAACACCTTACAATGTTTGAGATGATGGGATTTGTTATTTCTTCCTGAAATATGTTTTCAAAATCCATTTCTAGCCCATTAATATGTAATACTTATTGCTTTTTAAGAGCATTTCTGCACACGGGATCGTAAAATTCTGTGAGATTTTGTAAAGAAGAAATTAGCATAAATCGTTAATAATATTTCTATTGATTTATCGGATCTCGGAAAGGCGTTAGGAAAGTCAACAGAGAGTAACTTTCGGAGATAAAATATACGCTGTGAAATGCAATGCAGAGTATCGCAGTGATATTTATGGGGAAGTCTGGGAAGTGGGATTGAGAGTTGTGGTGAGAATCCTCACCGGGTGTGCGATGTGGGTGAATAGTTGGCCAGCTGATGGCCTCTTCTGCTGGTGACTGGCAGAGTGTGGCGGAGATGGCTTCCGGGGTGGGACAAGAGGATGGTCAGTGATGTGATTCGAGATTCTGGGCAAAACTGTGGATTGGCAAAAGCGCGCCACAGTGTTGAGTCATGGTTCAGTGACTACATTATAGTGTGGCAGTCTCAGCTGGTGCTTGTCTGGCGGTCTGCAAAATAGAAGCATTTTTCGCGTTTATTTTATACACAAGGAAAAATTCTCTCGCACTGAGTACATGAAATACCAATTCTATATCCATGGATACGGGATGCACTCTCTGTGGCAGAGGAAGATCGTTCTGGAGATTATGAAGTCCATGTAGTGTGTTTGTGTGTGGTGATGATGAGGAGGGAAAATTGTCAAATTCGCGGAAATAATTGCGGAGAATGTCTTAAGAGCAGCACAAATTGCTCATTGTGTGGTGTACATATGAGGAGTCTTTGGCATAAAGGAGAGTGGATTCATTAGGCATTCCGTGAGTTCTTGCTGTCTTCCACTAAATCCAGCGGTGGTTGTGTGCTATTTCATAACGAAAATATTGCTGAATTGTATTACCTGGGGAGAGAGAAAGAGAGATGGTGGTGTATGTACGCAAAAAATGCCAGGTTTAATTGGATTTTGCAATGATCACCTTCTTTCACTTGCAAAGGAGGCCTTCTGTTGAAAAGAAGTTTTGCCATTTGATAGACCGGAACAGGGTTTTATTGAAGAGTTGGATGACTGTGAATCAATGGGAAAAGTCTTTCTTTCTCTCTTGACTACCGGCAATCACACAGTTTTAATTGAAAGTGATTTGTGCGTGAAAGAGAGCAAATTTTATCCATCCGCAGCTGCTTCGGTAGTTGCGCGGGTACAATTTTCTTTTCCCATTGGCAATCTGTGCGGCAGAGAATATTGTCATGATTGCATGATCGTGTGCGGTGACCAAAGTGGGTGGATGCATAATAATAAATGATCGGGTGTGTGTATATTTGCTTGGGAATTTTCACTCTTGCTGGACGTGTTACAGTCAAATCGTGCTACACTATACATATAGTGTTGTTTATTGAGGAAATTGAATTAATATCGCTCGCGCTACCTTTCATCATCGCATAATCCCAACAATTAATGGGAAAATGCATGCGGTGTGACACGTATTGGGATGCCGTTTTACTTATGATGCACAAAGAGATCCTCCTCAATAGGCTTATATGGCGAGAAAACATGTGGACTTGTTTTCCCTTTGCATAATTTCTAGAACAATATATAGAGAGAAAATGTACACTTTATTGTTGCGTTGTGTGTAAATTCACATGCTTTTCCTTGTTTATGATTTTCCCAATATGATTGCACGTTGGCTTGATGGAAAGTTCTTACGCGTGGTTTTGCAATTTATTGACTGAACGTTCTGAGTCTCGTTTTCCTTATCACTGATCATCTCACCATTTTCCCATCAATTCTTCTTTCTCTCCCTGCGCTTTTTTCTCTCTCTCATCAGACTTCGACACATTTCTAATACTATAAAGTTGCTGGTTATATCGATGCACAAGTGCACAAGAGCAGTAAATGTACCGAATGGAAACTGTACAATAGATGTGCGCGCACTTGAGAATCTCGGTGTTTACTTTATCTCCCCTTTCACACTCACCTTGTGTGTATATTTGGGGTGGAGAAAGAGATTTGCTAAGTAGCAATATAATTTGCAATATGATAAAATATGCCGCGCTTTACATGCAAATCTGCGCGGTGTAAACAGGTTTCTCGCGATTGTGGCTTCTTTTGTTGCTCTGTGCATCTCGTCTTTTCTGGGTCTTCCTCTCTCTCCCTCTCTCTCACGCTGAATGAAGCGCCCATAAAAACGCATCTCCCAATTAAACTGTTCATCGAAGAATTGCAATGTGGCATGAATTATGCAATGACGAAAATTACATATGAAATATTTATGGCTTACGATTGGCGTTCACTGATAATACCCAAAGCCATGTGTTTGCCTCTTCATCAACTTCTGGGGAAGAGGCGATTGTTGGAGAAAAAAAATCTTTCCTCAAGTATTTTCTTCTCCATTAAAGTCTTTCTCTCGCTTACTTCTCTTCTGGTTGTTTAGGAATTTTCAGATTGGTCGTAAATTTGAAACCTCATTTTCTAAATTTGTACTTTATGCACTTCCTCTTTATCATGTTTGTTGTTTTTATTTAGAATAAAAAAGCACTTAATGACTGTTTTCGAATTGTTTCGTAATGAAATCCTTTTCTCCCTCCTTTCAGATTGGTGAAAGACCTCGACGTTCGGAGGAGGAGAAAACCCTCGTGAAGTGCAGCACAATGGGTGTTGCGGGGTGAAGAGAACCGAACTGCAAATCGGTGTCTCTCATCTATGATAATTGCGCACAGGAGAAAACACATATAGACTGAAAAAGGGATTTTTCACATTTGGAAGAATCGACAGCCATTGCAGAGGTAATTACAAAGTCTCGCCAGAGAGCAAAAGAGCAGTTTCCACATCAAAAATTGTGTATAATAGTTGCAGATTTCCGACGATCGGAGGAAAATTCATAACTCTTCGAAGACTATTGCTCAAGGCGTGGTGTTTTCGGCAAGGAATTGCACAAGGAAATTCTCGAGAGAAGTGCCAATCAGAGGATTTTGAAATAATTGACACACTTTAGGTATGTTTTAAATCATATATTCCTTGCAAACTGATATTAAATTTCCCTCTCTCTCTCTCTCTCTGGCACTTGTGATTTGCAGACCTTTCTGCTGGATTTCAGAAAGGGGAAGGAAAAAGTCAATAGAGATTGTTAGAATAGTCATCTGGCAATTAGCAAGTTGATCAGAAGCGGAAGGTGCAGAGGACAAAATCCTCTGTGTGATTCATGCTTGTTCGGTGCACAGCGAGAAGACAACAAAGGAAGACGGGAAGTTAGTTGTCGTCAAGTTGAGTAGTGAAGAAATTGCAAAAATAGCCAGAGGAGGAGATCGCTGAGAGGAAGAATGCAATGGAGGAGCGACAGAAATAGCCAAAATACGTGGCATTAAGCGAGAAGAAGAGTATTTAAAAGAGTTTTCTGCAAAAAGGCTGAGAATCACCACTTTGTAATGCCAGTCATGAAGCCACCAGCGGTGGAAACGAGTCAACAGCAACAATCTACATGTGCCATAAAGCCTTCCTTGTCCATGACGTCACTTCCGCCGCCCAATGGGCAGCACGAAAGTGGCGAACTGGCGAGACTCCGCATCGACAGACCCTATCATAGTCTCAAGGTTAGCTATACTGCGTGAACTCCAATTTGCCATTCTAATTAGCATCATTCATGACGCTTTTATTTGATTTTGCATGATTTTACTGCCACGCGGATTCTGTATAATGAGGCGCGAGGGGCAAAACAGATGGGAATTATTTTCTTTTGCTGGAAATATATGTCGCCATTTCTGAGAATTTTATACATCCAGATTTAATTGACCTTAAATTTTTCTAGTCGTAAAGCATAGTTTATGATTTCCGCAGGTCTTCCGGTTATCAAATGTTTGATAGCATCGGAAATTTGTTTAGATTATCATATCGCTAAGATCCAGAAGTGGCTTTTTGTTTTGAGTTTAAAGCGATATTTGCGTTTGCAATTGTGGGTTGTTGAGATGATATCACTCATTGGCATATTGTTCATTGATTTATTGGACAAAGTAATTATTCTGTGTAGTTTTTCTACAGAAAACTGAATAAGACTGCAAATATTTATTTCTCATTCATCTCTTAATAATAAGAGACTATGGATTAATCATCAAACACTCGATAACTTTGTACTAAAATGTGAGCAAAGACACTCAGTTTCACGATGATTGTCCTCAGTTGCGGCATAAAGTTTGTGTAAAACTAGTTTGTGTTGCAGCCGAGACACAAAGTCTCGTACTAAAACTATCTTTTTGCTCGGTTTTCAGAAGAAACGCGACTCAGAGCGCGAGATTTGGAGGCGATCTTGGGAGAGTGGCCACAGTCACAGTTCTTGCAGTCTCCATAGCAATGCCACGAACGCCGGTTCGGGCACGGGAAAGGATGACTTCTGGGCGGCTCTGCAGACCAACTACAACTATATCATGGACACCAATCTCATCGACAGCTGTCGTGAGGCCCGTGGCGAGTGCGATGGGAGTGCTCAGCTGGCGGATCAACAGGTGGCCGAGTGTTCCGAGAAGGTAGATGAAGAGATTGCTTGATGATGTATGCAAGAGGGTTGACAGTGTGCTTCTCTCTGCAGTCAATATTCCAGACGTCAAAGTCTCAAGGATCCGTGGTGGATCCACGAAGACTCCGCCGATGGTTGCGCGAGATGGAGAATCGCATCGAGAAGTCACCATCATTGTCAGAGGCAATGAAGATGAAACCTGGTGAACTTCAGCACAGATTGACAGAACACTCGGTGAGTTTTTCATGCTTTTTATTTAGTTCGAGGAGATATTTTATCACATGTGATCAAAGTGCTGGTTGAGTGAAGAGAAGTACTACAGTCATTTGAAGCGGATCTTAAAAGCTTGCTGGTTTATTTGGTATTTTATAGCATTGCGCGCGCCGCACAGATCGCCTTCCGAAAGTGGTCTTGAATAGTTGTGACCTTTCAGTGAGATTTTATGTACTGAAATGAAGACAAATTGTCTTGTCTGCACTTGATCTTCTCTCTCAAAGCCACTTTTTTGTGCGCCAATAGAGGCACATTTCTCTTCGCAGTATGGGGTAATTGGAAAAATGGATCAATTGCACATATGAAGTTGTCGGTATTTCTTTTGCAACAAAAATCATTAGAGCTCTCTTGACCTCAAAGGCTCGGAGTTGAAAGAATTCCAATGCTAATTTATATTGTGACCACCATGTGAGATAAAAATACCTTTCTGTGGCTTTGCTGGTGAACAATATTTTCACAAATTAGACTGTTGGGGAGGAAGAAAGTTCATAACATGTTGTTGTGAGTGAGAAATTCTTAGGAAATGCACGATTTCACGGGTGAGAAATAATTATAAAGTCCGTACAATCGAGATTTCATCCGCCCACGCATTCATTTGTCAATTCTCCGTATTTTTGCTGACCATCTGTTCATCTCATAATTTTCCTTCCTGGCTTCTTGCACCGTCACCCTTTTCCGGTTGATGCTGCAAGAATCGCGCGTCTGTGATCCTCATGTGTGTGCGTTGATTAGATTCTGCCACAGAGTCTGAACTCATTAATCAACAATATACTGTTGGGTGGCAGAGGAGAGACTGCACAAAGAATTTTGCTGTCTGCAGCAAAAGTCGGTGAGAGAGAGAAGAATGATCAACCCACACGAGGAGACGAGTTGCCACCCAAATGGGTGATTTATTGGGCTTTTGTGATCTTCTCAACACAATCTATTATCTCGATCATCGCCGTCCTTCCCCGCGATTCTTCCATGTCTTCGCAAGCAAATTGCTGCGGATTCCTTTCTAAAATTCATCTGACTCGCACGATGTTGTGGGTTAATAGCCAATCACTTTGCCACTGATGATTTTATGTGATGTTGTCAATGAGAAGTGTGCAAATGTTGTGACTTCTGCAGAATGTTTTGAATTTTATGATAATGTCGCGAACACATAAGCTTGATTAATTAATTGAGTCATTTTCCACAGAGTCACAAACAGAGATATCACGAATAGTGGCCAATAAAACTATTAACAATCAATTTGCAAGTGGATTAATGGAAACGAGGATGGAATTTAAATGCCAATGTGTCGTGATCAGCTGTGATAGAGTGTCTTAAGGGAGGAAGACACTTCTTTAGTCAATATCACGCGACTCTATGGTGGAATTGTATGTGAAAAACGTGTTTATATACAATGTTGTTGGTTGACTCTTTTCCATGAGTACCAATTAAATGATAATTACACTTCGTGATTCAATCGATCAAATGATTGCGCCAAGTCTGTCTTTGGCAATTGAGTCTCAAGATCATAGTCGATGCGGAAGATTTATCAAATATGGGATTTGTAATCTCAAAATGATCACGCATTGTGTGGAATTTATGTCAAATTTTCTGCCTTATGCCGCGTGTTGATTATGAGAATTATCGAGGGGCTTTTCACACACGCAATTGCTCACAAAAGTGGGCAAGAATTTCCTCTCTCTGGTGTCCATACCTAAGCATCCATCACCTAATGGTGAGGTGCATTTTGATTTACGCTGAACATGTACCACGATCTCTTTCTGTGTCGCTCGTGCTCGCCATATATTCGCGAGAATATGGGAGATTTGAGTGGTTGAGGATGAGAGGAGGTTCTTACCTTGAGTGAGGCAAAGCGGAGAGGATGTGTGTGAGCCTAACGGTGGCTGGGTCAAAATGGAATGGTTTGTTAGGTTCTTTGATGCTGACGGACTCTCCATATAATGTCGATGGGTGAGCCAAGTAATAAATTTCATTAATCAACGTTGATGAAGTTTTCGATCAACTTTTGCATGTACAGTAAACAGAGTTGATAGACTTGTGCGCGGTGAGTGTGATAAGATTTTATCTCGTGTCGATATTTAAGGTGTATTAGAAAGTCATTAGAGAGAGAGTGAGTGGCTTTGATGCAAAAAGAGTGTTGATTCTTAAAAATCACACAAATAACCTCGATCTTTGCGTCAATCACTATAAAGATTCATGGCAACAAAGCGGCAATAGAGATAAAGTCAATGAGTAATTAGTGGCTTTTGATGGTTGTAAATTTCATATAAAGATTAACCTATCTATTGTTGCTGAATGATTGCAACTTTGATGGTAGTGACGAGATGCAAAAAGACTGTTGGTGTGAGATGAGAAAAAGATGGCTGGAAGGGAAAGAGAAGCGCGATTGCCAGTTTAGATTAGAGATGAAAAACATCTCAGTGCTGATCGTTTGCTAATTTAATAAAATGCATTCATTTTTCATCACCATGCTTCTCTCACATTTATGTGGCATTGCAATTGTGTCCACCTCTCTTTCTGCACCGAAGCAATGATCTTTTTTCTTGCTTTCCCGTGGGCATAGGCGATCGGCGGCACACATAGGAGATAATTAAACTTAATAGATGTGCTAAATCACGAGTAAAAATGAATTATCGCCTAATGAATTTCTCTCAAGAGTCTCGTGTGATGTGTACTTTGGCTATACATATGGACTGTGCATGGGATAAGAAAATACAATCGTGGCAAATGAATGATGCTTCTTCTATTGAGAATGACGGTTAAGAGAGAAGATAGAAAAAAAAGTTGCCAAGAGTGTATTGATATCCGATCGCACAGCGTGACGTCTATCACGGTTTTCTCGATATAAAAAGGACTGTATCCGGAAAAGTCGGTTCTATAATTACGATTTGTTATGTTCTCTATCATGTTTCACATTTTACGATCACAGTCTTTCTTGTCGGGCAGGAGAAAGAAGTTTTGATGTGTGCAGGTTTCAAAGAGAGAGGGAGCAAATTATAGAGTGATCATCCAATGTTTGTTTGTGACCAGAGACGATGATCGCGGACGGAGACTTAAATGGGAAGGGTGGCTTATGAAGAAGTCACTTGACTTGACAAATTTACTAAATGGCTTGTTTGTAGCGATTTATTCAAATGAAATCGCCATTAATTATACACTTTACTGGACTCTCTGCGATCCGGAGAGAATGCTCGTGTCGCGGTGGTATTTTATTGGATGCTAAGTAGAATGTGTGGTGAAAGAGAGGAAGGAAAGAACTGAGCATAATGTACGTTCTATGCGCAATGTGATTACAAACATTATCTCATCAGAGCATTACGGGTTGATTGTTGGGAGGCGCATACATATAAGAGATTTTTGTGCTCCCGAGTTGTTAGATTTACTAGATTTTTTCCCCTCAATTGACCACTTTAACGATCATTCACCTTGAACCTGTTGTATGGCGTTTTTGCCCTCAAACGAACAATGCAAATTGGTTGAAAGATCAGTAAAAATTGAATGGACTTTGAAGGAATTTATAGTGTGAAGGTGAAGTGGAGAAAAAAGAGCTTTTTCAGCTTCCGCAAAGTTTGATCTGCCGATTCAATTGTGAGTTGATTTTGAACAAATAGGGTAAATGAGTTTGTGGGGAGGGATAATTTGAATTTTATGCATCTTACAGAAGCCGCAGAGCCAAAATTGCTCTTGATTGAGATAACGCGCGCGCTGCTGATGTAAAGAATTTCCAGCCGCAATTATCTTCTCTTGCGCATGGTTGAGAAAAAGCGTGGCTCTTTCGCTCTTTCTTCCTCTTGTGAAATGAAGCTGGGTGGAGAGAAAAAAAACTCGCATGTCCGTCTGAAATTGAGTAAAAGAGTTTTGCATTTTTATCGCTGAGCGATTGTGTGCGGTTGTTGTGTTAAAGGCATAATGGACAAGAAGGCAATCATGTTGGATGGGAAATGACAAGAGAAAATCTAGAACAGCAATTTAGACCGGTGTGTGATTTTCTTGAATTCGTGCACACAGGCGGAAAGAGAGTTGAGACTTTAGTGTGATTGACAAGGAAATCGATTTGTAAATTTGTATTTGTCACATTGGATGGCGGATTGTGTGTATACACTTTGTTGAAATGCAAGAGACAACCACAAATTGCCATCAATGGCAAGAGTGTTTGGCGGGGAGGTGGTGTGATTATTAGAAAATGTGAAAGATCGCGGTGAAAATGTGTGGCATGGACGTGAGAAACGGGCGCAATTGATGATCGTGGTTGATAGAGCAATTTTCCTTTTTATCATTTCGGGAAAGTATCAAACAGAAAATGTCCATGTCTTTGCTTTGCTGCCAAATATGGTCAAATGCATATCCAAGTCTCTCACACTTGAAAGCCATTTTTGGTCGCATCGAGTCAAACACGCATGTTTACTTCTTACAATCGGGCCTCGCGCTGAGCACGAAACCGGAGATTGTTCAATGAGTTTTGTAATCAAATTACAAGGGAGACTGAGAGCATATGGTTCTGTTTTGGCAGACATAAAATTTATTGTCTTGAACTTGTAATGCGGAAGTTGCTTGATGATGATCGCGCAGCCTTTTGGCTGAGAGTTGGGTTTTTGCTGGATTCAGAGAGACGATCCGGTGAAAAAAGGTGTGTGCAACACGAGACCTTGACGAATTTTGCCCAAAGGGAGACGCCGTGATGAAGAGCGCGATCTTGTAAAGGTGTTGGCCGGAAAATGCGACATTAACCCAGTTATTTCCCCTCTTGCCATAGAGACTTATTCGATGCGAGAATCGTGGCAGATAAAAGAGGCATTTATCGGTCAAGATGGTTTGATTGTTTTATAGACTCTTGGCGAATGTCGGATTGTGTCTACATCAGTTGAAGGTATATTGAGGAAGAGTATTATTATCTGCGCGAGTCTCTTTGTTTGTCTGTGGAGAAGTGAAGCCTTTAGTGGGGCAAAATAGACGTGTTTAGTCGGTTA